TAGTGATAATGATGATGAGGATGATGATTTGGATGGTGGTTGTAGTGATAATGATGATGATGATGAGGATTGTGATATTGATTGTAGTGATTATGGTGATGTCGATTGTGATTGTGTCTAAGAATAGTGTTCTAGAGATAAGGACGACGATGATGGTGATAATGATTGTGGTGGATAATGGTGATGGGGGTGACGATGGTGGTGGGGATTGTGATAGTACAGTGGCGATGGAAGCACGCTTCCAATCATTAATTTGTCGAGTACAAAGTGATGAAGCTGTGGTTGTGTGGTTACTTCATATGACGTTCAGCTGAGTTGGTTTGACATGATGGTGATTGAATGAGTGAATAAATAAATGAATGGATGAATGAGTGAATGAATTAATGAATGAGTGAGTGAGTGAATGAATGAGTGACTGGATGAATGAATTAAGGGGATTATAGTTATAAATTCAATTACAAAAATATCAATGTATTAAGTCATTAGCAAGCGATAAATAATTATAATGGTTATAATTGAATAATTATAAATGATTAATAATTAATCAATCAATAATTAATATCACTTATTATTTTTATGAAACAATAAATAAATAAATAGTTAATTAATTACTAATTAATCACTAACAAAAAACAAAAAAAACAAAATAATTACTAGTGTTAAATTTTTGCCATGCGCAGGCTTCAAGAACACCATTCATGGACTCTCAGAAAAGCCCGACCTTCCAGTTTTACTTTCAGTCGAGAAGATGAACCTGCCCATGAGGATCAAATCTTTCTTCCAGAGGAAATTGTTTAGCGCTTATGTCAATGAGTGAGTGAAAGAAATTTCACCAATTTTGACATTGGATGAATGCAATTGAAGGTGTAATATAATGACGCGGGTCAGTTTTGTAGCTGCTATATGACAGGACATATCACAGTTGATTACATGATGGTGATAATAAGGATGACGATGTTGGTGGTAAAAATGATGATGTTGAGATATTGTTTGGTCTAATAGTGATGATTGTGAGAATGTCAATGTAGTTGATGATGATGTTGATGATGATGTTGATGATGATGTTGGTGATGTTGGTGATGATGATCGTGATGGTGTTGGTTGAGGGTAATTTTTTAGCAATTTGAAGTTGATGTGATTTTTAATCGTTTATATTCATTTTTTTATTCAAATTTTTTCTGGAAATAAAACAGTCAATAACAATTAAAAATTTATCCTTCATTATCATAAATTAACAACCGTAGCTATTCATCTAACCCAACCAATAGGAACAAAGGCAAAGAGATGATTGACAGGCTGAAGGACACGCCCACAATGATGGCTAACTATTTGTCAGTCGATGTTCTCAGGAAGTTGTCCGAGAAGGATGCCAAGCTGTTTGAACATGGTTAGTGACGTCATAATGGTGATGGTGGTGCTGATGGTAAATGGAATACTGTACATCCATTTTGACGCTAACACTGTATTTCATCACCGCAATCATAATTACAGTTGAATCTATTTTCATGAGCCATCCTCCGATGATGACCAGAACGCCAACACAAGCAACGAGCAAGGAAGCCTCCAGCGCTACTACAACCGCTACCACTTCTACTACTAGTACTACTGCTGCCACAGACTCTCTTGCCACTGATGACGTCAAGAAGGGGACTGCGGCCTCAAAGATGAATGGAAGATTGTACATTACTCCTTACCTGGCGTTCTATACTCATTATGTTAAGGGTAATCAGCCTGACAAGGCTAAGATGCTGTTGGAAGTTAGTTGATGTTGTTGTTGTTTGTTGTTGTTGATGTTGTTTGTTGTTGATGTTGTTGTTGTTGATGTTGTTTGTCGTTGATGTTGTTGTAATTTGATGTTGTTTGTCGTTGATGTTGTTGTTGTTGATGTTGTTTGTCGTTGATGTGGTTGTTGATGTTGTTGTAATTTGATGTTGTTTGTTGTTGATGTTGTTTGTCGTTGATGTTGTTGTTGATGATGTTGTTTGTTGTTGATGTTGTTGTAATTTGATGATCTGTGTCATGGGCAGTTTTTGACTTTGTTAGTATGTTGTAATGAAGGTGATGTGGTTTTTGATGGCAAAATTATTGATGGTGATGACAATAACGATGGTGACGACGATGATGACGATGATTTGTTTTTTTTTATTCTCACAAACAGAAGTTTCCCCAGATGAAGAATATGTTGAGATTGGGATTGCTTTGCAAGTCGCTCAAAATGGAGAAGAATGTTTGTTGTTGTTGTTGTTGATGTGTTGTTGTTGTTGTTGTTGTTGTTGTTGTTGCAGGAGGAGATGCTGGTGAGGTTGTTGGACCTGCATGAAGATAAGGAGAACCCCAAAAGAGTCATTCCAATCTTCAACAACCTCCTCCTAAGCAAATGTCCTCTCTCATTTAGTTTCATTTCTTTAACTTTAGCCCATTTCTATTTCTTTGAACTTCAATTTTACTTTAATTTTTTTCACTAGTATTTATCATAGAATCAAATGATTAGTTGTTGTAAATACATAGCTGTTACTGTTAGCTGTCGTAAAAATAAATCGTGTGTGTTTGTTGTTGTTAGGTGACTGTAATTTGTAACTGGCCTCGCGATTCTTACTTTCCGTTTCAATTCATTTCAGTCTCATCTTTTATTTTATTATTATAAAAATAATTAATAATTATTGTAATTTTTTTTAATTATGTTTTTTAATTTGATAGTTTCATTAATTACTTTCGCCTTTGCTTCGTGTTTATTTCGCTTCATCATTCGGCTTATTTTCGTTGTATGAAAAATGTTATAAAAGTTTGAAGGTGATGTTTAAAATGACTTTCTGCCACCACCACCAGGTGAGTCGAATGATCACAAGTCAGCGTTGAGGGTTTACAATGACGCCCTGTCACGTGGTATCGTCTTTGATGATTTCTCCGTTAGGTCCCTGCAAGCCCTCCAGTCTGTTCTGCAGGGTCACAACCAACCGATGCCCTGGAAAGTAGGTTGAATTATGAATATTAATTAGTAGCTGGTTGGCTGTTGGTCAGTTAGTTGCAAGGTCAAAACCTACTAATCCTTTGGAAAGTAGGTTAAATTAATTAATTAGTAGCTGGTTGGTAGTTGGTCAGCTTGTTGCATTGATTGATTGATTGATTGATTGATTGATTGATCCGTGCATTCATTCATTCAGGAAGGTGAGCTAGAGAAGAAAGCGGAGTTGGCTTCCAGAAAGGACTTCTCTGATTCCGACTCTGATTAATAATAACTATAATAATATAATAATAATAATAATTAAAATAATAATAACATTAATATTAATAAAAACAATAATGATGATTATATGAAGAAAGTATGACCTCTGATTAATTAGTTTAAAATGGATATTATGATGAAGAACATCTTGATGTTGAACAACATGAAGAACATATGATGACGAACACGATGAAGAACATATGATGACGAACACGATGACGAACACGATGACGAACATATGATGACGAACACGATGGAGAACATATGATGACGAACACGATGAAGAAAATATGATGATGAACATGAAACGTAACGATAACATATAACTAACAGTTTTTCTTCTATGTAGGTCACGCTACAAGTTATTTGTTGTAAATTTATAATTTAGAAAGAGCGCAACGTATTATTACCGTTGATATCTGTATCATCATATTATTATTATTGATGTTGTTGTTGTTATTATTATTATTATTATTATTATTATTATATCATCTAATGAACGCGCGAGCTGTTAGAATTTTTACATTACCAAGTTTTCCAACTTTTAACCTGTTGGAGGTATTCTTTAATGAGTTTCGCTTAGTTATTATATTGCGTGTGATAATGAGACATTAAAATAAACTTATGTTAAACTCATATGCAAACATGATAAATTCGTCTAGAATCCATTCATTCACTCATATTTAATTCAATTTCATTCATCCCCTCGTTTTCAATGCATTCGTTCATTTATTCATTCATAACTGGATTGTAGTCAATCAAGCCTGGTGGGTCAGCTAAAAAAACAAAAATAGTTTTTTTAATGATTTTTATTGTCTTTATTCGCTATTTTTAGAATTGATTTTTTTTTTCTGCAAGTTTAATTATTTTATATAATTTAAAATTTAAGTTCTCCTTTAATTCAATTTATGTTCATTATCATCAATTTTAAATGTCCTGGTTATGACATTAAACTGACCCTCACTGCCTTGTGAGTGATGTTGGATCATCAAAGGCTAGGCCCACCGCTTATAACTGTGGTTGCGTAAGGATGGGCGTCCTGCGTAAAAATTAGCCAAATAAATTACTTATTATGGACTGGCGTCGAGGGGTTTTTCGGTTTCATCATAGGTAGCCAACGGCAAACCCCGATCTCGGGGAAAATGTCGTCTAAACGTGTGTTGTTGTATCATCAATTTTAAGCTGATTCAAAAACGTTCTTATTATTTATTTTCATGTTAATTAATGTCCACACTAATAGCCATTTCTTTCTTTCCTACGTATCGTTTCATTCATCAGTTACTGTTGAGATTTCTTGTGTGTTAATGTTTGTTTTAATGCTATTGTGACCAGGTAGGTTAATAAATTCAATGTCGACTTATCTCTTTTTAAAGTTTCACGTTGATCAAATTATTTGGATGCAATAAAATGTTTACGTGTCATCGTGTCGTACTTCACTTGGTTCTTTTTAATTCTCCCAATTACTTCCGAAGTTGCAGTCGCCGATTCCAACGCTTGTGGTGACGCCTACTTGCTGCTGCCGATACATAGTCCACATCAACAAATGATCGCAATTCGGCTAGCAGCACAACATTAAATAAAGACTACCACACAAATCATTCTCGCCAGCGTCTTAGGTATTGTATTTAAAAGAGTAAGGGCTAGTCAGTAGCAGAGGCACTCGGTCGGTCTGTAGGTCTTTATATCCATCAACCGTTTGGATACATACATGCATGGGTATGATATATATATATCCATTCCCGCGTACTCTCCTTGTTAAGTAGGATCCTTTATTTCCACATAGTTTAATGTTCGTCGGTTTATGTTCGAGTATATAGAATCCGGTTCTCTTTATGTAGAAAATTTTGCAGTGTAGGCAGTTTACAGACAGCATCAGAGTTCATAGTTTCTATCTCTCAACAAGGCGGATTTAAAAATTTAAATTTTATGCTAGAAAAATAAAAAATAACATGAAAAATTTATAATTTAAAACCAATTTTTGAAACACATATACACATACAGACGTACACATACACACATACATACTTGCACATACACAGACATACACATATATGTTGGAAGGAGACCATATTTTATAGACCGAATTGTTGGCATTGATCAATTTAAAGTTTAACTTTTCAATTTTCCTTCCTAGTTTTCATTGAATGTTCAATTTGTTTAAAATAGAATTATTCAAGTTCATCATGAAAATTTAATGAAACTTTTGTTATCCGTAGATAAGGCCTTTTTTCGATTTTTCATAAATCATCGATTTTTCATAAATCATCTTCGGTGGAGGTTTGATTTATATAGTTTTTTTAAACGAAGCAACGTTCTTTAGCAAAGTTTATTAGTTGGTATCGTATTCTTCATCCTTGTTGTTGTCATTCCTTTGTTCTTCACTGTTATTGTCATTCTTTGTTGGATGTTTATTTGGGGTTTATTGATATCTATTAGGACAGCTTCTGCAATTTCTAGATGTATTGTGTTGGTGTTTTGATAAATTATTTTTGTCAAGAATTTGGCGGGTTATTGAAGTTGCATGTGTTGATTGCAAGTGAGATTTGATGGCTCCTCTTTGTGTATGCATTGTGAGACGTCTTCATAGTGAAGTGGTCGTAACACCAATATACGGATGTTGTTGACGCGCACAGTCGTCAATAGGGCATTTAGATTCATATATGACATGATTACGCTTCAAAGTAGAATCGTCTTTAGGAGTGCAGTTGTTCTTTACGACTAATTGTGATGCCTTACAATTATTGTAGCATATCCTAAGTTTTATTTTATTAGTATCATTGATTGGTGTAACATTTCTTTATATGATTTGTTTGAGGACGACTTCGTCTATTTTATGTACTGTTGACATATGATTTCTGTAATATAGAATTATATCATTGTCGTTGTTGTTTTTAAATATATTCTATCTTGTTGTAGTCTTCGGTGAATGGGGCTCTCAATGTGCCCTGATAAAACTACTTTTGTCATATCTGTTTCTACTACAACTACTTCGGCTGCAACTGCTTCTTCAACAACTACTTCCATAGCAGCTACTTCTACTACATCTACAATCATCTAATCTAATCACAAGATGTTCATGCTGTATGTGTGCATGTATGTTTGTATGTCTTGTAGACTGTCTCAATTGAACAAGCACTAATCAAACAGCAGATAGCAGATATATAAACAATGAGAAATGTGATAGAGGACTTGTAGGTGCGTGCAAACATCAATGCAAAACCGTGATTCCATCATCGCCGTCTTACCTGCTCGGGCTGCCAGTCGAATTAATGTTGCTTGCTTTTGTTTGCACACATTAATGCTTAATAAATTGGCTTTGTTTTTGGTATTCTTATTGTTTTTATCATTATTTATTGATAGTATTATTGTTGTTATTATTATTGTCTCTTTTGTGGTTATTGAACATGTTTTCGTTTATCTGCCTTTGTTCTTTGGTCGGTTCGGTTAGATTTATTACATAATAACGCTCTTTCGTTTTTTGAACATCTACCAGAGTTTATTTTATCGAGTTTGCAATGTTATTGTTATTATATTGTTGTTATTATTATTATTATTATTATTATTGTTGTTGTTGTTATTATTATTTTTATTATTATTCACTCAGTGTTTTACTTTTGTTTGCTTACTGCTTGGTTGACTGTTTATTTGATTGCTTGGTCCACGGGCTCTTTCCTTACAGACTCATTAACTGGCTAATTTATTTCTAAAATTTTGATTTCGTTTTAATGGCTATCGGCTTATTGTCGACTCGCTACTACAGTTACTACAACTATTTCTACCACTACTACTTCTGCTGCAACTGCTTCTACTACAACTACTTCTGATAAAACTCTTTCTGTCATATCTGCTTCTGCTACAACTACTTCTGCTGCAACTGCTTCTACTACAACTACTTCTGATAAAACTCTTTCTGTCATATCTGCTTCTGCTACAACTACTTCTGCTGCAACTGCTTCTACTACAACTACTTCCACAACAGCTACTTCTACTACAACTGCAATCACCTAATCTACTACATGGTTTTTATTTGGTGCACTTAAATTTATTATTGGTACTAAAATTGTACTGTGTTACTATAGATTTATACTCTTTAAATTACCAATGTCTCCATATGTTAATTCATTAAATTCGTTTTCATCCCATTGAATCCCATGTTGTATTGTGTTTATGTGTTTATTAATTTCAAGTAACAATTTTATTGTTTACACCCAACGGAGTTTTTTGATCTGTTGTTGTTGTTGTTGTTGTTGTGTGTGTGTGTGTTGTTGTGTATGCTGCATTTTGAGTCGTGATGTTTAGTTTAGTGTTGCTGTTGTGTGTGTGTGTGATGTGTTGTCTCAAGTTGTGCTGTTGTTGTTGTGTGTTGTGCTATGTTGTGTTGTTGTGTGTGTGTTACTGTGTGTTATCGCCTGTTGTGTTGTTGTGTGTGCTCATCAACCAGCAGAAGTTAATTTAGAATGAATTTTTCATTGAAGAAAATAAAGAAATATTAAATGGGTGCACGTGTTTCCATTCCATTTGAAAATTAATTCAACATTAAAAATAATTCTCTTATGAATTTAAGACTACATCTTTGCCAAGTTGGTTTAAATTTTAGTTAAGTTGAAAAGATAATCGCAATTGTGTTACACCTTCAATGTCTTTGTCGGCAATACAATTATTATCATCATCATCATCATTTTTTATTATCGTTATTATTATTATTATTATTATTATTATTATTATTATGATTATTATTATTCTACATAAGATGTTCTAAGACGAAGTGCGTTTTACTGAACGAACGAACACAATATATTTGAAAATAATAACATCTTTCATTAGTACCTACTCAAAGCGAGGCTAGCACCTTCAGTAATTTTAACTCTATTTTATTTTACTTCATGTATTTCATCTCATTTTATTATATTTCATCTATATCGATAGTTCATTTCCTTGATTGAATAAAAGCAGTGTTAACATTATCAGGAAGAAAATAAAATAACTGACTCAAGACAGGTTACAGACGTTTATACGAAGGAGTTTGACGGGCTGTTGGACATGTATTAGGTTGAGGGGAGAAAATTGTCGCTTTTTACTAGATTCAATTTCTTGGAGTTATTTTTATGAAATTATTTTCAGCTACCACTGAATGTTATATATAATTTTAAAATGTAATTATTCATCTGTGTGAACACATTAAAATGAGTAGCCTGACGCTTTATTTTATCGGCCTTTAAGCTTTTTCAAAAAATGTTGTCGAAGCACGAAACTCGCATGATTTTCTCCATGAGTTCAAACTCGGTCGTAAGGCAACTCAAAATGTTATCCAAGCATGGGAGATTTAAGTACTTTTACAGGAGCAACACAAAGATGGTTTAACAAGTTCCGTTCAGGGGATTTTCTCTTCAAAGATGAAGAGGGTCGAGGGAGACCGCATAAGGCTGATAACGACGAATTGGGAGCATTTATTGAAGCAGAAAAATATAAAGATAATAGAAAGATATCTGCAGGTCACAAGAAATGCACAAATCGTTCGAAGCTTTGTTGTCGTTCATCACCGTGTGCTCCATTGAAGGAACTGTAAATCAGACCACACACAAATGAATCAGTCCTGTGTCAGATGTTTCAATGTAGGAGAAAATTTACTCTGCTGATTGCGCCTAATGATATGGATGTTTCGACTGATACTCAACTTATATGCTTGTTTTGTATTTTAATTTATTATCTATCTATTATTGTGATTCCCAAGAAGTTTGAGCATTTAATTTCTGTGATTGTTTCACCGCCTACAATAATTTTAAAAGACTCTGTGAGATTTAAATATTGGACGGGTCCGAAAACCATAAGCTATGTTTTTTTTAATTGTTAGGAGTCAAACTTTTCTTTTTGAATGTACATACAGATCTGTGAAAGTATACATACCTTCATATGTGTTGAATATATCGGTTGAATGTAGCAATGTGCACACACAGTTGAGCGTTCGACAAACTCAACGGCACGAAAGACAGCTGCAACAAGCTCACAATGCATTGAATGAACTTGCACATATATATGCCTATGTATATATACAATATATACAAATATGCTCATAAATGCATATATATATATATATACATATAGATGTATATATGTATGTATGTATATATACATATATACGATGTAGTATAGCCAGAGTTAGAAGCATGTGAATCGTGTCGTTAAATGAACATTAGGGTTAAGATCATATTTATTTATTTTTTTTATTAAATTATTTAAAATTATTATATAGAATTTCTATAAGGTTTCATTCATCACGTTGTAGAAATGAATCATATATTTTGAAATCTGTACGGTAGAAACAAATAGATTTGTATCGAGGCGTGAGTTAGTGTAGTTGATAAGCTATAAATTGTCATGTAGGGTAAATCATTTACGTGTCGCTCTAACATGCTTTGATAATTAAATAAACAAATTTGTTAAAGTGTAATTACTGAGAAGTTGTTATTATTCTGTTAAAATGTTATTTTATTTGATGTGATGCGCCGTTTCGATGGATTGTATTTGTATATTGATCTTATCGAGAGTTTACCAAACTGTCGGTTTTAGAAGTTACTCCTTATGTGAAGTTATAACTGTACATTTTGTTATGGGAAACTTTTTTTTCTGGAAGGTTTTTAGTTTGTTATTCAATCATGTTCCCCAAGAACCATGTGATCTGACAACATCATTCTTCTACCTCCACAAGCACGCCAACATTTTTGAAAGAACAAGAAAAAGTCTGATAGAGTTTAACCGAAAATTGAACGTTACTGCAACTTGTAGCGCTAATTAAACTAATAACATCAATCAATTATCGTCAAGTTCTCAACAAAAACAACGACGACAACAACATCCACAACAACATACACAACAACATCCATAAAAACATCCACAACAACATCCACAACAACATCCACAACAACATCCACAACAACATAGAATCAACATATTGCCAACAAAATCCATGTTAATCGGTTAATTTAAGCGGATTTTTCAGCCATCGTGAACAACAACAACAACAAAAGCTTTCCAACAACAAAAATTTTAAAAACGCTCATCATTATCTTTACTTTATAATCTTGGCTTGGATTGTCGTCACTTTAATCATCACCTCCTATATTAACATCATCAACTTACAACATCATCGTCAGTTAACAACAACACCACAACATACAACAACACTACAAACATACAGCAACACCCCAAACATACAACAACACCACAAACATACAACAACACCACAAACATACAACAACACCACAAACATACAACAACACCACAAACATACAACAACACCACAAACATACAACAGCACCACAAACAACAGCACCACAAAATTACAACATCCCTTCAAACTTACCGGAAACATGGCGCTACCACCATCGCGACTAATCAGCATACGACCCCTGGGAGCTGCTCTTTTGATTCTCCTTGTTGGGGGCTTTTTCACAATCACCCTCATCCTCCTCACCACCAACGAATCCATCTTTGAAACTGGCATGCCCTGGAAAGATAATGATGTCAATGATGACGATGGAGGTGGTGGTGGGGCAGGTGGAGTTTATGAGGGCAGAGATGATGACGATTTTGGCATCCATCAGATAAAGAATATTTTGTCAGAAAAAAATAGGCTAGTCTTCAGCTGGCCAATTATTATGCTTTGAATATAAAATTATTTATTTTTAAGAACCAGGCTTAAAAAATTATTTTATTTTTTTAATGAATTTGAAATGAATGCCTAAAAATATCATGAAAATGTTTGTTTATATTTTATCAGATTCGATAGAGTGTCATAAAATTGTTTATTAACTTTCATATCACCTTCCCACTAGCAGATCCCCAGAGGCGCACAACAGTATTAAAATGAACTACGTCAAACAACACAAACGCTCCAGCAGCAACTTCAACCACGACGACGACAACGACGATGCACACGTGGATCGATACTTTGGCATCTCAATCGACAGTCGCGTGTCCAACCACCCGGACAGCCGACCGCTCTTATGTACACAACTCGTGTACAAGAACGTCATCGTCAACAACCACGGCAACGACAAGCAGGGGGTATCACTGATCCTAGTCTACAGTGATTATCAGTTCTACGAATTGAAGAAAACTTTGTCGAGTCTCCTCGTTTCTGACTGCATCTTCCTCATTGGCGAAATAATCGTTGTTGACGATGCTTCCACACTGGACCACATCAAACAGGAAGCCGCTCGATACTTTGCCAACATTCCACCTGTTAAGTTCATGACAACTTCCGGCAACGAGCCACTTGGTTTGAGCAGGGCGAGGAATTTAGCAGCCAAAGAAGCAAAATTTGAAATTCTCGTTTTCGTCGATGTAACGGTTGTTGTCGGTCTGGGCTGGTTGGAGCCCTTGATTGATCCAATTGTGAACGGCAACGTGGAGTGTTTCGTTGTGCCTCACATCGATATAATCTCCGATCCGGTCGGTATGAACCACAGAAGACTTCCCGATAACACAACTTACACCATCACGTGGAGCCTCAACATCAGACCTTTCCAATTCAACCTTCCAACATATGATCCAGAGAAATGGCAACCAACACACATTGCCCCAGCCGTTCGTGGAGATGTGTTTGCAACCACTCGCACGTTTTTTGAAAAAATTGGTGGCTACGATGAAGAGTTGGATGAGTATGGAGGTGGCGAACATGTGGACCTGTCTTTGAAAGCTTGGTTCTGCGGTAAAGGAATCGTTCTGGCCACGTGTTCGCGGGTGGCGGTTGTTAATGCACTGGACCCTGTCAAGGTCAGGTCAAAGGGTAACAGGGATCGTTTGATTGATTTGTGGTTCAGTGGCAGGGAGGTCTATAAAACTGCCATTCAACGGTTGAGTGGATCGAGTTTGGACGCCAGTTTCAATTACGAAAGGGAAGAGAAGAAGGAAGGCCTCATTGCTTCGATGTTTGCTGCAAAACACGTTCGAAAATCTGGAGAGTGCCAAAAAGTTTTGATGGGACGCTACATTGAGAGGGTCGCCGTAAACATGGTGGAGCTAAGGAGGGATGCACTGGGGTACGGGATGCTGCAGACAGGTACGGATCGATTCGCCCGCATCATATTCGTCAACAACGCTATGAACAACAGCCCAAACAGCGGAATAAAAATTAAAATAAAACTGGATGAGTGCCAACCTGCCATCGTAACCGATCCTCGCGTCAACAACATCAACAACGACATCAACATCAACAACAACATCAACAACAACATCGTGGACGAGTACCAACCTAGTATCTTCCAGCTGACCACATCCAGCCTACTCGTCACGAAGATCAACAACAAAGACATGTGCCTAACAACGAAGGAGAACGCATACTTGACCTTTGAACTTTGCAGAGACGACAACATCAACAGCAACTACGATGATTACATCAACAAGCAGAAATTCATATACAACACAAAGGACCACACTCTGATTAATGTCTGGAGCAACTACTGCGTCATGCAGGTCACCGACCCCGACCAATCAACACCTGGCGACCGACAGATCGCCATGGTCCAACCTTGTGACAGCTACCAGGGCCATGATAAGGGCTTCATGAAATGGGTCTTCTTCAATTTGTGATGATGACAAAAAGTGAAGAGAAGGAAAAGCAGAATGATGAAGATGATGAAGAAAATGATGAAGAAGAAGATGATGATGATGGTGATGATGATGATGAAGTTGAAGATGATGATGATTACTGTGATACCAATGTGGATAAACATGGTTGATTGGCGAGAATGGCGATTATGACGTCACCGATGATGTCATTGATGACGTCATCATCTGATTTCATTATTGAATGTGGTGCTGTAACGAATGCGAATGTAACGAATGAAATTATTTCGTTGATGTCATCGAGATTAATGTTGTTGCGAATTAGTTAAGATAGTGACACGAGAAATGGAATGTAATGGGACAACTCAAGCGATACTTCACATTGTAAATATCTGACTGTGTAATAGTTTTAAACATTAAAAAATGCTCTAAACCAAATGCTTCTCATATTATTCACTATCATTTATTTATTTATTTATTTATTTATAAGTCTTTATTCAGCAAATGCTGGGAGACGCAGAAGCTCAAAGAGCTTGTATGGTCGCCCTAATCAGATCATCATAATCATTATCACCATAGCCATTATCACCATAGCCAACTTCATCATCGTCGTCATAGCCAACTTCATCATCGTCGTCATCACATTTGTTATTGTAGTCAGTTCAACTTGTGTTTACTGTCATCGCCATGCAATGAAAAAGCAAGTTAAAAAAATTGATTGTTGGTTAACTTTGGAGTGACATCCGGTTTCATTTAAGTCGGCCAGAATGATGTTGCTTACGGACTAATTGCAATGGAAAATGGGATGAAATGGGATTTAAAAAAGGCAAACAATGGGCTATTATCCTGAAATCTCCACAAAAATGTTCCTCCACAATAGATAGAGTCAGTAGCTTTGAGTTTTTCCTCGAAAATTTTTTTTATTGTTTTACCGGCAAAGCTGGCACAGACATACGTAAAAGGCATACGATGGTTTTTGAGTTTCGAACAGGCAGCATTTGAACCATGCCATCGCGTGATAACAACGTGAAACATGGCTCTTCTACATACTGAGCTAACTCGCTGATAGTAGGGATGGGTCGGAATTTAGAATTCAGAAGTCAACATCAGATTGGACATTTTAGGTTACCGGTAAACTACAATCCTACAACAACATCCTGCAACAACATCATGCAACAACATCATGCAACAACTGCCAGCAACCTCAACAACAACAGCAACTACGTTAATTAGATTTCCTTAAATTTGTCAGTAGTGAAAACTCTGAAACCGATTTTGTTTAATTTCATTTTATTAAAATTTGAGTAATCCCATTAAAGGTACAGTGAATTGTGAATGAATATATATATATATATATATATATATATATATATATATATATATATATATATATATATACGCTGACTGTGATAGAAGCAAGCTAGATACGTTAGATACATTAGATACATAGGATACATTAGATACATTGGGATTGGTTAGTTAGCAATATTAATCTGGCCCTAACTAGAAAAGATGAAAGTTGTTTGTAATGTTGTAATGCGTAATAAGTTTAATTCAATTTTCGTCAGCAAGCTTTATCTTCAACCATGGACACAAATTTTTCATTATACTTTCAGGTAAGAGTTTCATTTAGAAATGTAATTAAAAAGTATATTCAAACGTCAAATACAATTAATTAATTGTTCCATTACGCATTTATTTACACACTCTTTCAATCATTCGTGTTTTTCATTCATTCATGTTTTTTCATTCATTCATTCATTCATTCATTCATTCATTCATTCATTCATTCATTCATTCATTCATTCATTCATTCATTCATTCATTCATTCATTCATTCATTCACTCACTCATTCATTCCCTCATTCATTCATTCATTCATTCATTCATTCATTCATTCATTCATTCATTCATTCATTCATTCATTCATTCATTCATTCATTCATCCATTGTTTTCTTTTTTCATTCAATCAGTCCATTCGCACTTCAAGTATGAATATAACAAATGCAACTTAAGAAGGCTAATTAATGATGTGCGTGTCAAATACATGAGATCATTATCATTACCGTGGTTTTATCATCATCATCATCATCTTCTGCATCATCATCATCTTCTTCTTCTCCTCCATCTTTATCATCATCATCATCATCTTCTTCTCCTCTTTCGTCTTTATCATCATCATCATCATTATCTTCATTCACATCATCATCATCATCATCATTCATATCATCATCATTATAAACGATAAAAAATGATATCATTAAAAAAACATATATCATATGTACATGCGGTCATCAAATTTCAACGAATTAGATACAAATAATTGGATACAATTAACTAGATACAAATAATTAGATACAAATAATTAGATACAAATAATTGGATACAGTTAACTAGATACAAATGATTAGATACAAATAATTAGATACAAATAACTGGATAAAATTAACTAGATACAAATAATTAGAAACAAATAATTGGGTACAATTAACTAGATACAAATAATTAGATACAAATAATTAGATACAAATGATTAGATACAAATAATTGGATACAATTAACTAGATACAAATAATTAGATACAAATAATTGGATACAAATAATTAATTGGAAATGAAAAAAATTAATTTTGATCTAGTCGCCTGAATCCAAAACTGTCTGTAGCCTTACAATTTGCAATTGGAGAGTTGGACCGAAGAAAAAAAACAAAAAAGACAGCGCTAAATAAATAATAATAATAACTATAATAATATTAACAGCCCAAAATACATTTATATAGCGCCAAACACACCGCAATAATAGTTTTTTTTTATACAAAAACATTCCATCAGCAAGAGGAGGATATTTTGTGAAAACAGCGGGAGAAACTTTTTTGTGGTACGTTCCAGAAAGTTTTTCTTGATGTCGGCCTTACGTTTAAGATGAAATAAAATAAAAATGAATTTGAAAAAAAAAATAATAAAAAGATAATAAAATTATCAGGAAGTGGAAACGGAAGGTGAAAGCGAAGGTGGAGTTAAAAACATTGTGACAGACAGCTGAATGTAAATAAGGTCGCTTGGAAAAATTAATATAGAGGTGCGATGATGATGATGATGGTGGTGGTGATGATGAGGTTGGTGGTGATGGTAGTGATTGCGATAGAGATAATGATGATTGTATTGATGGTAATTATGATGATGATGATGATGGTGGTGGTGATTGCGATGATGATGATGATGATGGCGGTGACTGTGATGATGATGACGATAATTATGATGATGGCGATTAATGATGACAAAGATGATACTGGCAGATGAAATGTTTTACTGGCTAAAATGGTAAGGAGAGATGTGTTGTGACGACGATAATGTTTATTCTTCAGTCTGTGTGTGTGCGTGCGTGTGTGTGCATGTGCGTGCGTGCGTGTGTAAATGTGTTTGGATGAATAGCAATGAAGACAAGAACAAAAAAATTGGCTCTAGAAATAGGATAAACGAAAGTTCTTGATGGTGTCGACAAGTAGAGAACTGCGAACGATGTTTCAAGAAGTAAGTGATGGCCAGGAATCATCATTAAAACTTGATAGGATGTGGCATGTTGCGTGACAACTGCTCCAACAAATAAGCGAGAAATTTGAAAATCTAACACTCCATTCATATATCCATCAATCCATCGATCTATCCTTCCATTTATTCATCCATCCACCCATCCATCCATCCATCCATCCATCCATCCATCCATCCATCCATCCATCCATCCATCCATCCATCCATCCATCCATCCATCCATCCATCCATCCATCCATCCATCCATCCATCCATCCATCCATCCATCCATCCATCCATCCATCTATCCATCTATCCAGCATTCCAACTATCAATCAGTCAATCGATCAATCATCAGTTTATTCATTAACTCATATCCGTCTATCCATCAACCCATTTGCCCTTACATTAATCAATGAAACAATTCATCCTTTTATCAATCAATCCATCAATCAATCCATCTTTCCATCCATCCACCCACCCATCAATCTATCTATCCTTCAAAACAACTAAACACAAGCTGCTTCCAGAAAATCATCATCATCACTTTTTCCATTTTTTCACTCATTCATTTTCCATGTTTCCAACCTTCTTACATTCAATGCAAGCCTATAAGTTTTTTTTTATTCGATTTTTCCCCTTTTAAAACATTTTTTTTCATCTTCATCGACCTTCATCATCGTTGCCTTGATGATGATAATGTCAACTCGTCATCATTATCATCAACATCGTCTTCGTCATCATTATGATGATGATGGTGATGAAGATGATGATTGATGATGATGATGATGATTAATGATGATGATGATGATTGATGGGGATGATAGTGAGTAAGAATGATGATGATGATGATGATGATGATGATGATGATGATGATGATGATGATGATGATGATGATGATGATGATGATGATGACATTTGTGAACATAGTCAGTGGTAATGAGACAGCTGGAAATATGGTAGAATATGATCTCGGAAGATTTGTATTTAAGAGAAATGCACATCACAGTCTGTTTCTACAATTATTTATGTGATTGCATACAATATTAAATGAATAAATTAAGAAATAAATAAATTAATTAATTAATATGTATATTCAAATGGGCTGAGTCAGTGAAACAGTGTATAATTAATATCGAAACGTTAGCAAACCGAAATGAAATTAAAAAGCTAAAGAACCAGATGAACAACAAATAGACAAACAAACGTACGCAAACATACAAACGATGAAGCAAACAAACGAACGAGGAGCAAACGCACAATCGAACAAGCAAACCAACAAAAAACGAATAACAAACGAGCAAACATACAAACAAACAGACAAACGAAAGAACGAACAAAATTCAAAATATTGCATTGGTCTCGGTGAGTTCCCACTCACCAAGTAAGGACTTGCTGTCTATTTCAAAATGATATTTTCAGAACATTTCAAAAAAATCGTTCACAAAATTGCAAAAAAAAAAAAATGAGGCCATTTGTCTTGATCAGGAAAACGAAAAAGAAACGCCAGACAAAGCAAACTATGAAAATGATTTATGTACAAATACGTACTATTCAGGTATGTACACGCGTGTATATATATATAGTTATATATATATATATATATATATATATATATATATATATATTTATATATATATGCTTTCATACATTAAACTGTTATACATTTATAAATATATAATATTTTTTATTCTATCAGTTTTGTGCCTTTAAAATTGTAAACAACCTATACATCCAGCCTCATGCAAATGCTTATTACACGTGCAAATATGTACATACAGGTATATTTTTTCTTCTGTAAGGAAAAATCTTTACTCTTTTTTGTTTCTCTCTCTCTCTCTCTCTCTCTCTCTCTCTCTTCCTTTCTTTATAATAAATATATATATGTGTGTGTGTGTGTCTGTGTGTGTCTGTGTGTGTCTACGAGTCTGTTTGCAAAGCTGTTGAAAGTAAACATAATAGAGTGATGGTATTGTGTGGTTAAGACAATTGTACGGATGTTAAATGGTTAAATGATTTTTTTCTTACTGGTCAACAAACAATTCGTCATTAATCAGTAAATTTGAATAATAAGCTAATGAGTGAATTAGTTGATCAATGAATTTAATTACTTTTAACTTAGTTTAATTTCCTTATTATGTTGTTGTTATAAAAACTCAATTATGACGTCAGAAAACTCCTCCAGCACATTATAGAAATCAACAAATACAGGTAACGCGGTACAAACGGATTATATTCAAAAAAAATGTATAAAAATTGAAAAAAATGTTTAAAAATTGAAAAAAAATGTTTAAAAATTGAAAAAAAATTATAAAGAACGAAATTGCAGATGATATTGCTGAGAGATATCTTTCATGTAATTATTGTATAGAAGCACATTCCCACAAACACACACCACACACAAACACATAAACACATTCACACAAATACACACACATACACACATTCACACAAACTCACATGCAGCATAAACACATACACGCACATATACACAAACATAATTCATAAGATGCATACATCTATACAACATGCATATGTATGCGGTGCATAGTCGACACAACAAAATTCTAGTACTTTGATTGACTACATAACACCATAGTTATCTAAATGTAATCTTTGTGAATAAATCATCATCATTATTATTTTTATTATTATAATTATTATTTATTATTATTATTATTTATTATTATCATTATTATTATTACTACAATATGAGTTATTGATCTTACTAATTCAAATCAGTGTTGATATGATCACATAAGATCAATGAACGCTTTGTTAATTTGTCACTGGATGGTTGGATACTGATACATCAAGTTGGATTATATCATCATCTTCATCGTCATCATCTACATCATCATCATCATCTCAAACACAGCAAAAAGAAAGTTGCAACTCTATAATCTTATCATTCTGAATGGTTGATTATGTTGTTGTTGTTGTTGATGATGTTGTTGTTGTTGTTGATGATGATGTTGTTGTTGTTGTTGATGATGATGTTGTTGTTGTTGATGATGTTGTTGTTGCTGTTGATGATGATGTTGTTGTTGTTGATGATGTTGTTGTTGCTGTTGATGATGATGTTGTTGTTGTTGATGATGTTGTTGTTGTTGTTGATGTAATTGATCCAATAGATGATTCCCCTGCTACTGACAGGTTTAAAATTGTTGCCGCTGGTGAGAATGTTGTCCGTGGTTTCAATGTTTCTAATGTTGTTGTTATATTTAGCGCTGGTGTTAACATTGATGTTGATGTTGTTGTTGTTGTTGATGTTGTTGTTGATGTTGTTGTTGTTGATGTTGTTGTTGATGTTGTTGTTGATGTTGTTGATGTTGTTGTTGTTGTTGATGTTGTTGCAGTTTGGGCAGCGTCGCCAACTTTCCCAGCAATGACATCCAGCCTTGGTATAGAATCGTTGGATCCGACCATGAATGTAACCTTCCCACTGGGTCTCCATTCTTCGTTGCGTTGCTTTTTTGAAGTTTTGTTGCTGGCAGATTTGTTTTTGTTGGCTGTTGCGTTGTTGTTGTTGTTGCTGCTGTGTAAATCAACATTGAAGTCGTTGTTGATCTGTGAATGTTGTTGAGAAAGTTGTTGCTTGATGGCTGGCGCTTTTCTGGCGGGTGACAGAGAGGACTTGTCCGAATGGTCAGCGATGGAGAAGTTGTCGTTGTTGTTGTTGAACGATGAACGATTTGAAGTTGTAGTCGTATTGAAGGAAGATGCGTCCGTGATGCAGTTGTTGATGTCATCAGTGACGTCATCATCATCGTCTTCGTCGTCCTCATCTAGCTCCACCACTTCGTCGTCATCTTCTTCGTCACCAATGATGCCTTTGCAGCCATGAGCAGTGTAAGAGCCACTGTTGACATTAACATTTTGATTGATGTCGCTGATGTTGCTGGGATCGCTTTGTATGTCTAATGCAGTTTTATGGAAGAAGTCGTTCGTCAGTAATACTCGTCTCTTGTCGCATAAATCCGGAGTGTGATTGTGTTGTTGCTGATGTTGTTGTTGTTGTTGCTGCTGCTGTTGTTGTTGCTGTTGTTTTTGTTGTGAAAATGATTTTGAGGATGAGTCTGGATATTGTTGTGAATGGTGGTGCAACAAAAATTCTTCCTCGCTAGGTTGTTGTTGATGTAGTTGGTGTTGTTGATGTTGTTTCTCGTCCTGATGAATTGTTGCCATTAAATCTCTTTCGTCAACTTCTTCAGTTTGTCTCGGCAGCATTTTTGTGAGTTGATTTTGCTGGACAGGTTGTTGTTGGGATTGATAATGTTGTTGTTGTTGTTTTTGAAACAAAGTTTTGTTCTGTTTACTTTTAAATTTTCTCAACAGAAAAAGTCTTCGATCACTTTTTGCATTGTTTTTCCGATAACTTACTTGTTCAACGCTGTTGTTGCTGGCAACGTTGAATTGTGTACTTTGAACGGTGTTGTTGTTTGTGTTGTATTTCAAAAGCAGCTCATTCTTCCTCTTGGGACTGCTAAACAGTCTCGATGTTTCGCTGAGTTTCTTGTTATTTTTATCAACAATTTTATTTTTCCTGGACGAAGAGAATGAAAAACAGCCTGTGGATGTCGTTGCTGTTGTTGGTGCTGTTGTTGCCGACAACGTAGATGTTGTTGTTGTTGTTGAGGTTGTGTTGTTGATGGATGGGATTTTAATTGTCGTAGGTAGGGGAGGTTTGAACAGCAGAGCTTGATTGAATGCTGATGAGCTTCCTGTAAAGAACGTTGGGACGGTTTGTTGTTGCTGCTGTTGTTGATATTGTTGTTGATGTTGTTGTTGTTGTTGATGTTGTTGTTGTTGTTGATGATGTTGTTGATGTTGATGTTGTTGTTGTTGTTGATGTTGTTGTTGATGTTGTTGTTGTTGTTGATGTTGTTGTTGTTGATGAGGAAATTCATTATTTAGGAGGTGATTGAAGGCAGGCGTTGAGAAGTCTTTGGTAGTTCCGTTCGGAGTGGTCAAGCAAAAGATATTTGCTAGCTCCATGTGGTTGTCGCCTGCTGTTTTTGAAGCGTTCTCGACGTTGAAGTTGTTGTGGCTGTTGTTGTTGTTGTTGCTGTGGTTGTTGTTGTTGCTGTGGTTGTTGTTGTTGCTGTGGTTGTTGTTGCTGTGGTTGTTGTTGTTGCTGTGGTTGTTGTTGTTGTTGTGATTGATGTTAACTGAAGAAACGACAGTTTTGTTGTTGCATGGGTGAATGACAAATGTTGTCGTTGTTGTTTGAGACGACGACAATGATGATGGCAGCAAAGTTGATGCGATCTTGCCATCCATCTTTTGTGTAGTCATCAAGTTGAACGGTCTTGAAGACGTTTCATTGACCTTGCTCTCCATTTCCAGCATGATGTCAGGTTCCGATTTTGTGACGCTGCTGCCCTTCATGCTGGCCCTGCGCAGAAAGTAGCCACCAGGCGTCACATCATGATGGCACTCTTGCTCACTCGCCAGTGCAATGTTGGGAGAACTACACAGCATGGATTTGGAACTGGGCGCTGGACCAAGCGTCTGTTTCTTGTTGTTGTTGTTGGTGGTTGTGGACGTCGCTGTAGTTGACGGTGGTGCTGGCGTGTTTGCATTGTCGGAGTTGTTGTGTTGCGGGATTAAGTTGGCGAACGGAGTCATTTCAACGGATTTGTTGGCGGTACTGTTCGCTGGGTTGGTGAAAAAATTGGGATTGGTGAACCTGCTCTTCATGGACATGGTGAATCCCATGCTGAGGCTGGCGATGCTGGAGAGTCCCATGGAGGTGTTCAGCTGGTTGCTCTGAAACGCTGCATACATCAGGTCAACGTGTTTGTTCATTAGCAAACAAATCGACCACAACAGTATAAACTAACAAAATGTACTGCCTCCCTCGCGAACTATTGATTGCACAGTTAGAAGTTCACATGATGTTAGTGATTAATTAATAGTTGAAAATTGAACACACAGCACCAACCACAAAATTCAGAAAGGTTGAATTCAAAGAACCACACGAGACAAAATTTTAACAGCGCAACTGACGAATGCTGTATCTGAAATCCAAACGCACTCGACATGAACCACAAACTCCATGGCGACACAACACAAAACAGCACAACCAACCACATCTGGACGGTTTACACTGCAGTATCTCGCGGTCCGTGGCTCCTTTCGCCGTGCAGAGGTTCTTCAGGTTCAAAATTTCTTTCTGCTCGATACATTTCAAAACATAAATTAAATATATCGAATATATTCATTTTAAATTGCTTTGTAATCTGTTGATGCTGAATGCAGCGCACCGTCATGAACACATAAACTCAACCGCAAAGATGCGACACACACACACACACACACACACACAACTACAAAACACACAAACACGCACACATATGTGGAAATACATAACATTTTTACAAAAATCTTGTGTGAATACAAACATCACACAAACACAGACGCTTTTACCTATTATATATGGAATACATACACTCACACCAAAGTCAACGAACACACTATTACACACACATACACACACACGCACATGGATACACACACATACACGCACACAGGTACACACCACACACACAGATACACACACACACGTACACAGGTACACACACACTCACTACACACAGAGATATACACACATACACGTACACACACACACATACACGCACACAGATGCACGCACACAGATGCACACATACACATACAAACTCACCTTTTTAGCGGACATGTCGTTGTCGATGAGTTCCAGCCTTATCTCCAACCTCCGACAGGCCTTCTTCTGCAGCTTTATCCGGAACTCATGGCGTTTCTTGGCGGTCACCATGAATCCTGGAGGTGGTGATGATGATGATAATGTTGGTTTATAAAAAAACTATTATCAAAATTTTCATTCAATATTATATTTTCATATAATAATATAGCAAAGATGTTATTCATAATTTTGATAATATTATAAAACTATCAGTGATTCTATTCTAATGATTTAAACATCTTTGAAGCCTCAGATATATCTTCAACATCTTCAACATTCTATTTGAATAGACAAAGTGGTGAGGAGCACCAACTGAGCTGAGCTAGCATGACGGACAGACAGGGGCAACTCATTCCAAAGATCCGGGGCGGTATGGTGAAGTGGGTGGGATCTAACGGAGGGTGGGAGTGGTTGGAAAGTTTTATGGAGACTCGCAATGAAATCTGGCTTGTTTGTGGCAAGATCGTAACGAGTTGTGAGGGTCGGTTGAGTTGTAAGACGGGTGGGTAGGATTTTAAAAGNTTGGAACTATNTTGAAATTTGGCACGTGACTGTCTTCTCATCTCAACATTTCCAAACAATTTACACTTAATATTAAACACCTCAAACAAATAAATTTCAAATGTTGAATATAACTTATTCAATGCAAATAAGAATTTTTCTAAAGTGTAACTTGGCCGCTAGTGAATTTTAAAAATTCCTATGTTGCTGTTTTGTTTCTTCACGTTACTGCATCAATATTGTGTCAAATCATCATGGTACTGTATCGTTATTGTATCGATTCATCAAGATACTGTATCGTTATTGTATCGATTCATCAAGATACTGTATCGTTATTGTATCGATTCATCAAGATACTGTATCGTTATTGTATCGATTCATCAAGATACTGTATCGTTATTGTATCGATTCATCAAGATACTGTATCGTTATTGTTTCGTTTTATCAAATGCACGGCGCGTTGAATTATTCATGGAAATTATGATTTGGAATGTATTTGGTTTGAGATTCTACAAAATTCATATCATGGTAATGAAGATTCTATGGTGTCTGGAGATGATGATCTCATAGTCGTCATCATCATCACCACCACCATCACCATCGTCATCATCGTCATCATCATCATCGTCGTCATCATCACTACCATCATCGTCATCCATCATCGTCATACTCACCATTGATGACTCGCAGAATCCTCCAGAGGAGGAAAAGAATGATGAAGGCAACCGCTTCCTCACCTTAATGATGGATTGATGGAGTGAGTGAGTGAGTGAGTAAGTGAGTGAGTGAGTATAAAGTAAATGAATGAATAAATAATACTGTTGAATGACTGATACTGAATGAATGAATGACTGATACTGAATGAATGAATGACTGATACTGAATGAATGAATGACTGATACTGAATGAATGAATGACTGATACTGAATGAATGACTAAATCAAAAAACGATTGAATGAATGAATAAATAAATAAATAAATAAGTGAATGATCTAATAAATGAGTATATAGACAAACGCCAAAAACAGCTCAGAGATGGGGGGGTTAAGCAATGAATATTTTTGACAGCCCTGCCTGCTTCTGCAAGCATCTTGCACGCATCAAATCATTTCCGTGCAAGAAGAAATGAACGTACCAAAGTGAAAATGAATGAAAATGTGGGGGGAAAATGATTGGACGGTGATGAAAAAGTGCACGATGAATGAATGAATAAATGAATAATGAATGAATGAATAAATAAATAATGAATGAATGAATAAATGAATAATGAATGAATGAATAAATAAATAATGAATGAATGAATAAATGAATAATGAATGAATGAATAAATGAATAATGAATGAATGAATAAATGAATAATGAATGAATTAATAAATGCACGAGTGAATAAACTAATGAAAATTTTTTTTATTGGCAAGGAAACAAAAAACAACCTGAATAAACAAATGAATGGGCAGGTAAAAACTGAATGAACAAACAATCGAAAGAAATGAAATATGAATGAATGAACGAACGAATGAATGAATGAACAAACGAATGAATGAATGAAAAACAAAACCTTCGTTGTCAGCAATGCCGTCAATAAAGACGAGGTCCAATGTAAAAGATGCTATGATGATGATCCCATCGAACACCTGGTGGTGGTGGTAGTGGTGGTGATGATAATGGTGGTGATGATAATGGTGGTGATGATAATGGTGGTGATGATAATGGTGGTGATGATAATGGTGGTGATGATAATGGTGGTGATGATAATGGTGGTGATGATAATGGTGGTGATGATAATGGTGGTGATGATAATGGTGGTGATGATAATGGTGGTGATGATAATGGTGGTGATGATAATGGTGGTGGTGATGATTGTATCCGTCGTTGGCTGGCTGTCACTGTGATTACTGCTATTGAATAATTCATCAGGCATGAATTCATTCGTTCGTTCGTTCGTTCGTTCGTTCGTTCGTTTATTCATTAATTCATTCATACATTTATTCATTCATTCATTCATTCGTTCACTTATTCATTTGTTCATTCATTCATGCAGTGATTTACTAGTGAAGGAATACAACCCTTGTTCTTTCTTTATCAACCCATCCGCGAACGTATAACACTAATTATCGCCATTAGATAACTCCGTGTTTATTTATAGACGTTCTCATTCTCTAACACTCACTTTTTCATACTCTCTTGTTTTTTTCTTTTGTCTATCTGCCTCTCTTTTTCCTGTCTGTCTTTTTTACTTCCTGCCTCTTTGTCTGTCTGTCTGTTTTTACTTTTCTTTCGTGTTTTTCGCCGGATTTTCCTTTCTTTCCGTTAAATCTACATGTATTTTTTATACGATCTTCTTCATCTCTTTCTCTCTCTCTCTCTCTCTCTCTCTCTCTCTCTCACTCATTCTTCTGTGTTTTGCTATTCTCTCTCTCTCTTTTTCTCTCTTTCTTTTTTTCTGTTTTCTTTCCTCCCTTTCTCTCCAACCTTCTTGTCATTCACCGATTTTTCTTCTTTTCCTGGCGTTTGATCTACATGTCTTTTTTCATAAAATTTATTTTTCTTTTTCTCTTTTTTCCTCATTCTTTCGTGACTGCCTCGATCACTTGTTCATTTCTTTCTCTGTTTTTTCTCTTCCTTACTCTCTCTTTCTTTCTCTGTTTTTTTCTTTCTCTCTCTGTTTTTTTCTTTCTCTCTCTGTTTTTTTCTTTCTCTCTCTGTTTTTTCTTTCTCTCTCTCTTTTTTTCTTTCTCTCTCTGTTATTTGCCGATTCCTCCTTTCCCCGCGTTTAATCAGTGCTTATTCATGCGCAATTCAAAAGCAAGCGCGCCATCATCAACAGTCGACAAATAATAATGATTCTTCCGTTCGCAAATTTCTCCGCAGGCTTCTTGTCTTCGTTGAATGGTCTGCGGCTTGTTTATGGGACCTTTTTCCAATTCCGCCTACCTACCTACCTGTCATGAACTCTGTCTCTCTCTGCCTCTCTCTATTTTCTCTTTCTCTCTCTCTCTCTTCCTCTCTCTCTCTCTCTCTCTCTCTATTGTCTTTTGTTTGTTTTTGTTGTTTGTCTAGTTGAGTTTGCACGAGTATAATTATCTTTTTATATTACACAAACACCACACACACAACGCACACACACTTACAACACACACAACACACATGTTAAACTTATTGTTATCAGTCATCCAACAGTATCAGTCATTCATTCATTCATCCATTTATTCATTCATTCATCAATTCATTCATCACTATTTTACATTCCTGAGTTTTTAAGGAAAGCATTTATGCATTTCGTTAACCAGGCCTCTTTGGATATCGCGTTTCAGGCAAGTTAATACTTTCCAGTAGAGAATGTTTTGTTGTATGCCTTGGGCTGGCTTATAACTTGCAACTTGCTTTGCACTGTTTGTATCATTTCAGTTTGTATGTAATTTGTATTGAAACTTCTCGTATTAGTTTGTATATAATTTGTGTTGTATCTAGTCATGTTAGTTTGTATGTAATTTGTATTGGATCTTCTCATATTAGTTTGGTATGTAACTTGTATTGTATCTACTCGTGTTAGTTTGTATGTATTTGTATCGTGTTGTATCTTCTCATGCTAGTTTATATTGTAAATTGTGTTGTATCTACATAATGTATATTTTAGACTGGTCAGCGTGTTTTTATGTGATTTTTTTGTCTGCATGTTTCAGTTTGAAAGTTTATTTGTATGTTTGTTTAAGTGGTGTTTGTGCGGACGTTTTTGCAGATATGCTGCTTGTATATCTTCTTGTATGCTTGTATTTTGTATAAATGTTTATAAATGCTTCATGAGCAAAATCTATTCATTCTAATCTAATCTATTCCAACAGGTGAAATCACACACACACCACACAGACACTCAAACACTCTTTCTCTCTCTCTCTCTCTCTCTCTCACACACACACACACACACAGACACACACACATACACACACTCTTTTTCTCGCTTTCACACACACATATATACACACATACCTTTACAGACATGAAATATTAATAAAACTGAGATCAAATATCACCGTGGAGACAACACGACAGATCTTAGTTCTCCTCACTAATGGTTGCTATGCAGAAGTGACTTCCATAAATTTCGTTGCATGATATTGTTGTGTGTTGCTGTGTGTGTGTTGTTATGTGTGTCGTTGCTGCTGTTGTGTGTTGCTGTGTTGTTGTTGTGTGTTGTTGATGCTGTTGTGTGTTGCTGTTGTGTGTTGTTATGTGTGTCGATGCTGCTGTTGTGTGTTGCTGTGTTGTTGTTGTGTGTTGTTGCTGTTGTTGTTGTGTGTTGCTGTTGTGTGCGTTGTTGTGTGTATGTTGTTGTGTGTAAGTGACATTAATGTGTGATGTTGTTGTTGTAATTGTTGTGATGTTGTGCTTATCGTAGTTGCCTTTTGTTTGATGCAAGGTTATTTAACTTCCCGTAAAATAAATTTCCCAAATACTTTTTGGTGCTAAATTATCTGTATTAAAATTACATAACCTTGCTTGTATGCAAATGCAACTGATATGCATCTATCTAAATAAAGCGTGATGTTAATTTATATCTTCCTGGTCGGGGTTGACTTTCATTGCTGATGATTTCAGCTGCCAACCGGGCGAGACTAAGCTGGACGCAGGCAAAGGTTAGGGTTAGGTCTGTGAGTATTGTTCTTCCATTCAGTGCTCGCCTAAGCGGTTACAATTAATTTCATCTATAAGAAACTGCCGAAATAACAAAGTATATTGCTATAGCAGTTTTTCTTCATTACGAAACTATTGAAAAAATGTTTATAATGGAAAAAAAACTACATCTCGATTTTAAATTATTTGAAGAAGCTGACTATTGGCGGAAGTAAGGTTGAATGTGACGTTTGGATGGATTGACTGGGTAAATAATAAGAATGAATGAACGAATTAATGAATGAAGATTCATTCATTTATCCATTTATTCATTCATAAACGATAAATGAACGAGTGATAAATAAACAAACGAATTAAAATATAATTAACAAATGAAAGAAAGAAAAAAAGGTTTTTCTTGAAAAAAAAACAAATTAAAAAAGTTACCATGAACCTTCGTCTGCTAAGGTAAGTGCATTCCTTTGAAACATCAACAGGTTGAGTGATTTTGTATCAAATAATAATAATAATAATAATAATAGTAATAATAATAATAATTATTATTATTATTAATAATTATTATTATTATTTGGTGATGGCAATAAAACTAACCCGTAAACAAGCGTTATTACGTTATTATAAATTATGCAAATTATGTAATTTAAGCAATTTATGCTAATTATATAATTTATACAAGTTATTCAAACTATGTAATTTATGTAAATTAAGCATTTTATGTTTTTTGAGCAAGTTAAGCAAATGTTGCAATTCATGCAAATTATGTAAATTTATGCAAATTAAGCAGATTGTTACTCCAAAGTTGGGATTGAGGCCCATGTTATGAAAATGATGTGAATTGTATCAATTATGCAAATTAAGTTGAGTAGGTCAATCACGTCGTTCAAGTTGGTTAATTATGTAGATTATGAAAATTAATTAATTTATGCTGATTAATCAAATTCTGTACTATAAGTAAGTGTTGATACGTTAATTACGTAATAGGCTAAAAATAAAAACAAAGGTAAATAAAATAAAATTAAAATAAAGATAAAAAAGCCTTCCCATAATTTGGGTAAAAAATTTCCTCCATATAAATTAGTCATCATCTCGTTTGGTTGTTTTTATAATTTTAAGGTGATTAATTATCGCATCGTAAACAAATTGCAAGTAAAAAAAATGATAATGTTGATAAATATGAGGATGATGATGATGACGATGAATAAGAAAAACATGATGATGATGATGATAAATATGAGGATGATGATGATGATGTTGTTGTTGTTGATGATGGTTATGACGATGATGTCGTTGTTGATGATGGTGATGATGACGACGACGATGATGATGATAATGATGATGACGATGATGATAATGATTATGATGATGATGATGATGATATCTAACTATCGTAACTGACGTTAAAAACATGATAAATAATAATGAAAAAAATAATTTTGTTTTTGCAGAATAAAAAAAAATTAATGACGTTGTAGATTCATTTATATGCTCTCTATGCTTGGCTTGTTGTGTGCGTGTGCGTGTGTATGTGCGTGTGTGTGTATCAGTGTGTGTATGTGTTGGTGCGTGTGTGTGTGTGTTAGAGTGTGTGTTGTGTTAGTGTGTGTATGTCTAATTCTATGTTGAATGGGTGGTTTGTGTTTGTGTGTATTTTGTTCTGTGTGTGATAAACGTTTTGTAGTTGAAAACAAGATGAGCTAATATAAAGCCTGATAAATGAGTGAGTGAGTGGGTGAGTGAGTGAGTGAGTGAGTGAGTGAGTAAATGAATGATTGAATGAGTGAATGAATAAATGAGTGATTGACAGTAAATAAATGAATATACAAATGAATGAACAAATAGAAAAAATGAGAAACACACAGAAATATTCAAAATAAAAATAACTTAAGTCAGATTTTAATTAAATTAATTAACTGATTTATTAAACTAATTAATTGATTAATTAATTAAACGAAAATAAGATGGGTGGAAAAGCAGACTGACCTCCAGTTTGTTCTTGAAGAACTCTGCTCCTAGACCGAGGACACGTAGGAAAACCTGGAGGATGGATTGGTGGATGGGAGATTTGAATGAATGGATGGAGTAATAAATGGATGAATGAATGGATGAATGAATGAATTCGTGAATAAATTAATGAATGAATACATAAAAGAATGAATGAATAAATGAATGAATGATTTAAGGAAAAAATTAATGAATGAAAAAATGAATGAATAAATAAATGAATGAATGAGTGAATGAATAGGTAAAGAGTTAAATGAATAGATAGATAGATGTATGGATAGATGAATGAATGAATTTAAGAACCAATCCAAAAATAGAACGATAGTTAAATTATAAATTAATAAAATTGCTTTAAGCTGTTAACTCTTAGCTTCAAAATTTAGATAAAATTAGCAATAAATGCCTCGTAGAATGCATCAACTCCAATAAAAAAAAATAGATTATGAACGACGGGTAGAAGAAATGTTAATGGATGTTTGTATTGATGTTGAACAAGAAGGTAAAAAAATGTGAGATGAGTGAATGAATGAGTTGGTGATGATTTATTTGATGGGGTTAATAAGGTTGTGGTGTTGTTTTTCGGCGCTGATGAAGTTGCATGTTGTGTTGCAGCTGATGAGCATGTCAGCTAAAAATAAAATCTCAAATGTTTTTGTGATTTCTTTTTTTTAGTTTTTGTGACTTTTTTTTTTTTTCTTGCCAGTAACATTGAGAAAGGGTTGATGAAATTATTTATAAAATTCGCAGTACCACCAAACAGATCATCATTCATTTTCCATCATAGCTACTGTCAATATTCAGCCTTATCATCATCCTCATCGTTGTCGTCATCATTTCTGTTATCATCATCGTCATCATCATCATAACATCACCACCATCATCATCATTATCATCATCATCGTCATCATCGTCATCATCATCCTCCTCATCAATTTTTATCTTGATCTGATTATGTGGTGTTTTTATTTTTAAGAGCTTGTTTATTTGCTTATATGTGAGAAAAAATAATGCCGACAATTAATTAATAATAAAAATATTAATTAATCAAATTTTCAATTGTCAAGAAGTTCTTATGAGGAGTCTAAAATTAAAAATTCTACTTAGATAAATCTAAAATGCATGTCAGCAAAATCATTTTGAAAAAAAAAATAATTGTGAGTGCAATGGTGAATAAGGATGATGCCACTGATGATGACATCACAAATGGTGTCACAGATGACGTCACAATGAGTGTACGATACAGATGATATCACAGATGATGTCACAGATGACGTCACAACGAGTGAAGTGGGTGGGGTAGTTTATCCAGTTGTTGATCCGAACAATATTTTCCGCAAATGACTTCCATTCATCTGGCCGGGATATTTATAACTCGGTGATTCTTTACGTACTGGTCATCTTATTTTTAGAATTGCATGTTTTATTCATTAGAGGCTTCTATCTGATCGATTCATTCAGGCAACTTTACATTTATCAGACGGATTGGATTGTTTACCTATACATTCATTCATTCATTCGTTCGTTCGTTCGTTCGTTCGTCCGTTCGTTCAATCGTTCGTTCGTTTGAAGTTGCATGAGCGTACGTACGTGAAAACTTCGCAACAAATTCATCAGGCAGAATAGAATTTCAATCAACAAAAACGGTTCCATCTCAGTGCGAGAAATCTCATCTGACGTTTCGACAATTCTTTCGTCAGATGGAAGAAATCTCTCGTACTGATGACGCTGCTATGATGACGTAGTGATGACGTCATGCCGTTGATGCGGTTGGGAATGATGATGACGATGATGTGGCAATGATGATAATGACTTTGTGATGATAGTCGTTGTCGGTGATTTCATGACACTGATAATGATGATGATGATGTTGGTGATGATGATGAGGATGATGGTTATATTCATAACGATGGTTATAATGATGAGGACGATGATGAGGTTGTTGATGAGGACGATAAAATGTTTCTACCATAACCAGTAACGTCTTTAATGATGGAGACAGTTTCAAGATTGTCAAAAGTTGACGCTAATTATGACCGAAATGCTGGAGAGAACATTGCTTACCGGGTGGTGTAGTGGTGAGGTGCATGACTAGTGTGATACAGTGAGAGGGTTTGAGTTGAAAGAGAGTATCTGTCGCCTGCAAATACGTCGTTAGCGATAAGGATGATGAAGAATATGTTGATCAGGATGGAGATGCTGATGTCAATAATAATAATAATAATAATATAAATAATAAAAGAATAATAAAAAAGAAATTATTAATCATAATGTTTTTTTTAGATTTTATTATGAAGGGGTTCCCTAATTAGTCGCCATTCAGTGCGTACCAGAGCAGCGGATGACAGCGATAACCTTAATTACAACCACTCGTCATCACCTGATCGGCACCTGTATTGCCCTGCTCTGCGTTTCATTCATTTGCGTTACGTAAGGTGACATTATACCGCATCACATTACGTCATATTTCGTCACATTACGTCATATCGCATTAAATTACATCACATTCATGCGCCGTTGTTTAGACATACACATACATATACACAGACATACACACGCATACACACATATACATACACATACATATATATATACACATATTACATACAGGTACATAAAGGTGCATACCCATAGCTACGTTTATACTTGCACTTGTTTGTAGATAGGGTGGGGCCTAGTTGTACACAAAATCGATGAAACTTTTGAAAACGTTTACTTTTAAAAATTGTGAGACAACGATGTTAAAATTATGGACAAAACTTGGCATTTCTGCTGACAAACGTTTTAAATAGCGCCGATATTCATTTAAGCTAACCATCGACTCTTAAAAAGCAAGTAATTTTGATAGCTGAGAAGCATGATAATATTAAGAGTTAACAAAAAATTAAAAAAAGTTTCTGCGAAATAATTTAGCTATCATTGCAATAAACTAACAAGATATAATACTACCTATCTACCAACCAACCTACCGACATACCTACCTACCTACCTACCTACCTACCTACCTACCTACCTACCTACATACCTGATGATGATGATGATGTTGATGATGATGATGATGATAAAACAACAATAACAATAACAATAATAATAATAATAATATGAATAATTCTTAAAAATTTTATTCCCAGAAAAAAATATGACCTAACATATTGTAGCGACGTATTTATGTAAGAATTCGGTAGGAAAGGATTTAAAAATTCAAGTCGAAAATTATGTTAATTATAATAATAATAAATAATAATAATAATAAATAAATAATAATAATAATAATAAATAATTATAAAAATGAACGTATTCATCCAATTAGCGAAACGTAAGATCAATAACTTCAAAGAATGTCCGGTGCAAAAAAATGATGGATCCGTTGTTGGAATGGATGGATGGTTTGTTAGTTATGTTTGCGATATAAACTATTTAAGAATTCAACTCAAAAGTTTTTTTATCTATCTATCTATCTATCTATCCATGCATCTATCCATCCATCCGTCCGTCCGTCCATCCATCCATCCATCCATCTATCTATCCAGATGGAAAGAACAAGTTCATGGAAACAATCACAGCAGACAAAAAACGAACAAACCACAAAAAATCTTAATTATTTTTTTTTCAATTTATGACACGAAACAATAAAAATTATCATTTGCAGTTATAACAAACTTTAAACCCGAACGTTTGTTAAATTAAAAAAAGTAATGAATTTAGAGTTTAAATGACTTATTTATTATTTTTAAGTGTCAGTGAATTTAGGGTAGGAAAAGAATGGAACGAATAGGAACAAGAAGAGGGTATGATTGGTAGGATGAACTACCTGGATGACAAATATGCCTAGGATGAAGATGCTGGCATAGTGAAGCATGTGAATGATCTTTATCAACTTTTCCGAATGGGAGTCGTATACGAAGTGCTGCTTTGTGGCGCTGCTGTAGTCGCTGTCGCGGTCGTCTGTGGTGGTGGTGGTGGTGGTTGCGTCGTCGTTGTTGACGTTGTCTAATGTGTTAATGTTGTTGTTGTTGTTGTCAATGTTGTTGTTGTTGTTGTTGTTGTCAATGTTGTTGTTGTTGTTGTTGTTGCTTCTTTTATCTGTATTAATGTTAATGTTATTGCTATCGTTTTTGTTGTTGTCACTGTCATTGTTAACGTTGTTTTTGTTGTTATTGTTGCTGTTATTTTCTGCGGTGGAGTTATTGTGGTTGATGTTGTTTGTGTTGCTGCTTTTATCTTTGGTGATTTTATTGTACTGGACGTTTTCTTTGTTTTTGGCGCCATTCTCGTCAACAAAAACAAAATGTAAGTTGTTGTTGTTGTCGTTTATGTTGTTGTTGTTGTTATTGTCATAGCTGTTGTTGTTGTTGTTGTGAATGTTGGTTTCTTCATCAGCGTTATTTTTCGCATCTGGAGGACTTCTCTTAACAAGAGTTTTGTGTTCTGAATCAATAGAACCCTGCTTGTTGTCATAAAAAATGTTGAAAAGTTTGTTTTTGTTGTTGTTGTTGTCGTTGATGTTTTTGTTGTTATTGTTGATGTGTTCTTGAGACTTGTCAACCATCTGCTTGTCATTGTTGTTGTCTTGATAAAAATTGTCATTGCTACTGTTGTTTCTGTCAATGTTGTTGATGCTAATTTTGTCATTACTGTTTTTGTGTATACGTTTGTTGATGTATTTGTTGATGTTATGGATGTATTTGTTATTATTGTTGTTGTTGTTGTTGGTGGTGGTGGTAGATTTTCGTTTCAAGGTTGATAACTTCAAAGAAGTATGTTTGTTGATAGGATCAACTTGCTTTTTGCCGCTATTTCTAGGTTCTTTATAATTTGTTGGTGATAAAAAATTGCTATGGGAACCTTCAAAAGTTGCTTTGTTCAATTTACTGGAAATTTTATAAAGTACAGATCGTTTCTGAATGATTGTCCTACTGAACAACGATTTGTTTATATTATTGTTTTTCAATGTTTCGTTGTTGCTGTCGTTGTCGTTGTTGTTGTTGTTGTTTAATGTTTTATTGTTAAGGTTTCTGTTGTTATATAAAGTTTTATCAGTGCTGATGTTTTTAATTTTGTAGTTGCTGTCGTTGCTGTCGTTGTCAATTTTGTTGTTGTTGTTGTTGGCGTTAAAACACACATTGTTGCATATGAAAGAAATATTGAAATTGGTGTAATTTTTATCATCGCCGAAGAACGTCTTGTTATAGAGACTGTAGTCCAATTTGTCGTGCGGTTGATAGATACTCAGGTAGGCATTTTTGTTGTTGTTGTTGTTGTTGCAAGTGTTGTAACAAAACTGACAATCGTAACTGCCGTTGTGTTTGTTGTGTTTGTAGTTGATGTAGGTGTGGTATGAAATGTTATCAGTGTTATGAAACGTTCCAATCAGATGTTTTAGTGTGCTCTGTACTGAATGACTCTCGTAACCTGTCAGCGTTAAAAATATTTGTATCGTATCGTATCGAATGGTGTCGTATCGTATCGAATGGCGTCGTATCGTATCGAATGGTGTCGTATCGTATCGAATGGTGTCGCATACATACATACATGCAAGCTTACCAGCTAGTTCGTTTGGATATCGGTCCCAGATGAAATCCATAGCCATGTCCAAACTGTCGATAGCTGCTTTCTGCTTACCTGTCACGATTCATTAGTTTTTCGGGTTTTAATAATTTATTAATATTAAATAAATTAATGAATTAATTTGTTAATGAACAAACATTTTGATTAGTAGAATATGCATCCTGCAGATTAATGAATTATACAAATTGGATACAAATGAATACTAACTGGTAATTAATGTTTGTATGTATGTATGCAATATGTATGCATGCCTGTATGTCTGTATGTTTGTATGTATGTATGCAATATGTATGCATGCCTGTATGTCTGTATGTTTGTATGTATGTATGCAATATGTATGCATGCCTGTATGTCTGTATGTTTGTATGTATGTATGCAATATGTATGCATGCCTGTATGTCTGTATGTTTGTATGTATGTATGCAATATGTATGCATGCCTGTATGTCTGTATGTTTGTATGTATGTATGCAATATGTATGCATGCCTGTATGTCTGTATGTTTGTATGTATGTATGTACGTAGTTGTAGGGAAGTGCGTGGGAAAAATAAGATGGATGATGTTGCTGGATGATGAATTGTTCGTGCTGGATGATGAATTGTTCGTGCTGGATGATGAATTGTTCGTGCTGGATGATGAATTGTTCGTGCTGGATGATGAATGAGACTGGAGTAACATTGCGCATAAAATATAAGCGTTAGCTGAGCTGCTATAAATTTGTTGACACACCCTGATTGACATGTGCGTAGAATTCGCAAGCGTCTCAGTTGAGGCGCATTAACGAACATGCATGACCATTAATTAAAACAAACATCAACTATAACACACACACACACACCACATACTTACACAACACACCACACACACAACACACCACACACACACTCATCACACAACACACCTCACACATGCACACACATAGAAACCCACGCACACAACACAATATACACACTCATCACACACGCAGTTTAAACAATAAGGCACATGAACAAACAAACACACATTTCTCCACAACACACACTAATCCACAGGAAATATACACACCACACCACACCACACCTGGAAACAACAAACGAATGCCAGTTTCAAACGGATTCACATTAACGTGCGAGGCATCATATAAACAAGAAGTCAATCAAACATGAAAAACAAAAAATCGATAAACGAAAAGGATGTAATAGGGACGAACAAAAATTGGATGACCGAGAAAAACATTCCAGACGTTAGAGACAACGAAATGTAAACAGCCGTCACGAGTGGCAGCTCCATGAAAAGGAACAACAAATTTATCTGGCGCCGGGCCTAAATAAATGCAAGTCCTTTACTGACATCGACACAACAAATAAAAAATAACACACACGCACACAAACACACGCACACATTGCGTTTTACCGCAAGCAAATGCGCAAACAAACGCGCAAACAAACACGCGAATATAAGCACAAACAAACGCGCAAACAAACACGCGAACAAACGCAGACAAACACACAAACAAACATTTTGAGAAGAGCAAAAGCAATTAAACGAACTTTTGATGGCGTGCAAATCAAGGAGGATCTCCGTGACGACAACGCCGGCGTCCACCAACACAAGGACGCACATTGCGATTTGAAGGGGACTGCGCTCCAAGAATTTCGTCATCTTCCCTCGAAATCTGTCGTTCAGCATTCACGTTTGTTCGTTCGTGTGCGTGTAATTTTGTGTGTGTGTGTGTGTGTATGTGTTTGCGTGTTTGTGTGTTTGTTGTTTTTGTATCAGTTTGTTGGTTTTTTAATGTGAGTGTATTGTATTTCAATGCAAAGTATTTGAGGATGGTTATGCATATGAGGATATTTCGTGTTTTATCTCTGAAAATTCATTTATAGGTTTAGAAGTACTCACTCTTGTTTTCATGTTTGTTTGAATGTTCACCTATGTTCTCGTGTTTGTTTGAATGTTCACCTATGTTCTCGTGTTTGTTTGAATGTTCACTTATGTTCTCGTGTTTGTTTGAATGTTCACTTATGTTCTCGTGTTTGTTTGAATGTTCACTTATGTTCTCGTGTTTGTTTGAATGTTCACTTATGTTTTCTCGTGTTTGTTTAAATGTTCACCATGGATGGTTTCCTCTTTGTTTTGCATGTTCACTCTATGTTTTCATGTAAATGTTCATATGTGATAACATTTTCACGTTTGCATGCCTGTATAAACCAACAGAGAACATTGCGTGTTAACTGTTCAGTGCAAACATCATCAGCAAGCGATGTTGGCACGCAAGCAGGATTTCGCAATAAATTGATCAGATTCGGAGTGAATTAAATACCTTGCTGACTGGCACGCGTTCATTTTGCACGCTGACAAACACATAACGCTTTTGAGATATCAAAGAATCTTTTAATATAACGAACATTATACATGTTTTTATATTTATATCAGTATACATTTTTATTCATATCTAGTATATATATATATATATATATATATATATATATATATATTTATATTTATATATATACTATATTCCATTTAATTATTTAGTTATCTATCTGTCTATCTTTTAATCTATTTTTCCCTTCATCTGTCCTACTATCCATTCATTTATATATTTATCCATCTATATGTCCATCCACGCATTCATGCATCCATGCATCTATCAATCCATCCATCCATCCATCCATCCATCCATCCATCAATTCACCCATCTATCTATCCATCCATCCATCAATTCACCCATCTATCCATCCATCCATCCATATTTTTTTTCATTTTGTTTTTTAAAGTTCTTCGGATTGATTGCTTGAGATATGCAGTTTATTTCCTTGCTATATGGCATGTTACACCCACATCCCCCCACGTACACGCACATACACCACACACACACGCACACACAAACACACACACAATCAGACAGACAAACAAACACACAGACAGACTCGATGGTTCGAACGCATAGCCATCATGATGAAATGTACTGGATGAATTTAGATAGAGATGTCTGTCTGCAGACTTGAGAACATCATTTTTCAATCATTCGATGTTTCTCGGCGTAGTATTTGAATGAGTGCAACCTCATAATTACTACTAACATCGTTACTATTACTCACTACCACAACTACCACAACTACCACTACTTACGATTACTACTACTCGTAGTTGGCTTCACTACTACAGAAGCTACCGGCTGCTAATGCTACTGCAATTTTTTACTGTTTTTTGATATTAATGTTGTGACATTTACTTCAATACTATCTCCAGTAGCTCAATAGTTTTGTTGTGTTTCATGAACCACAAAAATCATATTACTGCTTGTCAAATTGTTTTATGAAAGCATTTTTTAACATTGCTAGCAAAACTTTTACTAACAATCGAACTTTTGAAACAAATGAAGCTATGTCTCTTATCGCTGAAATAGAAATTTAGTTAGTTAAAAATAAAAATATTCGCCAATAACGTGATAGCAAATTTATTGAAAACCCATTTTATGTTGTTTCTTGTGACAAATTGATCTAATTGAATTCAATATTCTTAAATAATAAAAATAATTTTTTTTAAATAAAATTAATATCACTTTTAAAATATTTTGCAAACTTACCAAGGTAAGAATTTATTTAAAATCATTTTTTAATTAATTTTTTAAATCTTTCTGCGTTCAAAAATAATAACCTTCTACACTCACAACATTCCCATATAAAAATCATGTAAGCAAAATAAAGTAAAAAAAAAAGAAAAAACTATTTTAGCGTCTTTGGTTAACGGAAGCATTTTATGTGCCGGAAACAACCGTAAAAATTTACGCAAGACGAATGGTCGGAGTTTCGTCAAAAGGGAATTCCACGACGTTTGTTTGTTTTGTTGCGTGGGTGTTGTTGCGTTGTTTCGTTGCGCTACGTGATGTTGTTGTTTGAGTTTTGTTTTTTTTTGATGTTGTGTTGGTGTTGTTGTTTTTGTGTTGTTGTGTAAGTTTTATTGTTGTTGTTTTGTTTTATTGTGTCGCTTTAAATGTTGCGGTTGTATGGTTGATGTTGATGGTTTTGTTGCTGTTGTTTTTAAAGTTGCTTACTGTTTTTATGTCTATGTTCATGTCGTTATTTAAATGTCTTTGTTGTTGATGTTACCACGTGATAAGTCGACATTAAATTTATGCTTCTTAAATCTTTTGATCGTGTTGTCTATGTTTTTTGTACTGTTGTTATTGTTGTTGTTGTTGTTACTTTGTTCTATGGTTTGAGTTCTAGGTTTCTAATATCAATGTTGTTGTTTTTTTCAATGACGTATTTATTGATTTTTAGTTTTACTTTTGTTGCTGTTGTTTACAGTGTTTTTGAAATGTTGTTGTTGTCGTTATTTGTTGTTTGGTATTTTTTTATTTGTATTTCGTTGCTTATGTTGTTACTTATGTTACTGTTGGTTATTCAATTGATGCTTATGATGTTGTTGTAACAAAACAACAACAAAAACAGTTCAACAACAACAACAAAATTTTATCAATAACAACAACAGCAACAGCAACAACATTAAAACAGTAACAACAAAACAATAGCAACATTTTAGCAACAACAATAACAAAATAATAACAACAGTATAGCATTAACAGCAACAACAGTTTAGCAACACCACCAACAACAACGGTTTTGCAGTGACAGTTTTGCAGCAGCAACAAAACAACAACAACAAGACAACAACAATAAAACAACAACAACAAAACAACAACAACATACGTTTTTGGCTGTTGCTCATGTATGAGTCTCAACTCCTCATCCAAGATATCGGCGTCAACACTATCATCTTCCAAGTCCTTCAAAAAGGTCTCGTTCGTCAGCCATTCGCACTTGTTGCTGTATCGATGGATGCTGTTGCGTGGAAGTTGATGTCGTTGTTGTTGATGTTGTTGTTGATGATGTGGCTGTTGATGTTGTTGTTGTTGTTGCTGATGTTTTTTATGTTGTTGTTGTTGAAGTTGTTGTTGTTGTTTTTAATATTGTTGTTATTATTAATGTTGTCGTTGTTGTTGTTTTTGTAAAAGTTGTTGTTGTTGATGTGATTGTTATTTATATCAATTTTGTTTTTATCATTATTATTGTTAATGATTGAGCGAATGAACAAATGAATAAATAAATAATTGCTAAATTAATTAATTAGTCGTCGATAGCTAATTTTTTTGGAGAGATGAAACATAGAAGAAAAAATCTCATAGCCCTCAACATTTCATCATAATAATCATTTGAACAATCGTAACACCATTATTCAATCATCATCATTCGCTAGCACATCATCATTCGCTATCTTATCATCATCATCATCATCATCATTTGCTATCTTAGCATCATCATCATCATAATTTGTTAGCCCATCATCATCATAGTTATCATTGACAACCTCATCAAAATAATTACCATTCAGTAGACATAAAATTTTTATCACTTGCACTATATTTCATCATTATCTCCCTCCCATCTCTTCATCACTCTCTCTTTCTCTTTCTCTCTCTCTCTCTATCTCTCTCTCTCACTTCATGTTTCAGTTTTCTACAAAAAACAGTCCAATAAAAGGCCGCCAAATTAATGTTATTTACACTCATCCAGAACCTTTTTATGTGTCTTTTCCAGCGTTTTTGTTTTATATCCATTTACATGTTTGCCTGTACGCCTCATTTAAAGATTGTATGTTTACCTACATGTATGTTTGTTTGTATATTTGTTTGTATATTTGTTTGTAAATTTGTTTGTTTTTATATTTTTTTGTTTGTATATTTGTTTGTTTGTGTGTTTACTTGTTCGTTTCTATGAACATGTGCATGCTTACCTGAGAGAATTTCTGTTTTTTGAGTATATACATATAGGTATGCTTGTTTGTTATTTGTGTGTGTGTTTGTTCGTTAGTTTGTGTATATGTTCGTTTGTATGTTTGCACGTGTGTTTATATGTTGTATGTAATCTTATTGATGGTTTGGTGTAGGGATTTGAAGTGTGTGCATGAGAAAAAAGATAGAGACACTTGCGTTTTTTAAAAGTTGTACTCGGATATATTTTGGAAAAGTTTGATTTGGTTAGAAGCAAATTAAGATGTGGATGGTGTTGTTAAGTGGATGGTTGGTTAGTTGGTTGAGGTTGCAGTTAGGTGCTACGGGGTAGTAGAGTCTACTGGGGGGTTTTGAGGTGTTTTGAGGTGTTTTGAGGTTTTATTGCTTGATGATGGAGGCATTGTGTTAGGATATATTTTGACGTTCTGTGTTGTTTGTCATCATACTGCTAAATAGTTGGTGTGAGCGCTGAAATTTGAAGTTTGTTGGGAATTCTATCATGACCATCCTTCCTTGTTGTTAATTTCAATTCTTATTTTTTAGAAACAAATGAAATAACAATCTCTACCGACACGAATGAATTCCAAAAAACAAAACCAAGCAAAAATAAGATTGCAAAAACATAGACATCAAATGTTATCAACACGAAAGCAATTAAGCACAAAATAAAATATCAGCCTAATGTTTATCTACGAACCGTTATCAGAACCGTTATGGTGCTATTTATTTGGCGTTTGATATCTGATAAACAGTTTGATGTTTGTTGTGGTGACAGATTTGCACCATCAAACTTCATCTAACTTTCTCAGACTTCCTTCAAATTCCTCCAAATTTTTCCAACTTCACCCAAATTTATCCAACTTTTTCCAACTCCATCCAAATTTATCCAACATCACAACTTGTCAGCAACATATGAAATTTATTTTCATAAATCTGGATTTAAGCATAATTAATGAGGGTGGTGGTTTGGTTGGAGTATGGGATTGAAATAAAGTTCACTATATCAAATAACATGGCAATGCGAAATTCTATCAAAAGTCCTAAAAAGAACAAAAGCGTATTTAAAACGCCTTCGTACACGTTTGCACATACACACTCACAAACACACACAACACACACACACACAAACACAATCTACTCACAGATGCACACAGGCAGGCACAAACATATTTATTAATCTGTAAATCATACAAAACAAACAGAATGAGATTTGCATTTCAGACGTGTAGACCAAGCAAGCTCACAAGAGCAAGAAAAAATGAAAATAAAAAATAATTCAAGCTAAGTGTTCGAAGAGCAGCACTGCATAATTTAAACATTGATATGAAAAAGTATTTTTGCCCGCCTGATTTAATGACCATCACCCTCCGGACATATGATAACCCGGACCCAACCAGCTGACGCGAGGAAATGGAAGATGGAAATAATAAAAAAAATGAAATATTTAAGAAAATATGAAAAAATTTTGAATACTTACAAAGAAAATTAGAATATTAAATACACGAAACAAAATTGTAACAAGCATGGAGACGTTTATTTTTAGATGATAATTTCTTTTTTCAAAATTTGGCGTCCATGCAACCAGTTATAATGTAATATAACTTCCTCACATCGAGACATACGTACCTACCATACCTAGGATAGGAAAAAGAAAGAAATGAAAATTTCACAATGACGGTAAAAAATTATTTTTCATTTTCTCGTTTTGTGTTGTTCGGGGGAATTCTTCCAATCAATACTTGTTCCTCCTGGGATCTGTTGCAAAAATATTCACCTGTCATTAGCCAGCTTCACTCTTTGCGACATAATTCAACAGATATGCATGCGCGTGTGTGTGTGTAGAGAAAGAACTATCAATTTAAACCTCCCTGCAGAATTTAATATATATATATACAAATAGCCAAACCGACAGAGACCAATTACCCATCAACGTTTAATTACACGTCGAACATTTCCATCAAACTTCTAACGAGGCGTCGTGATGTTGTTGTCTGTATGTTGTTGTTGTTTGTATGTTGTTGTTGTGTAATGTTGTTGTCTGTATGTTGTTGTTGTGCAATGTTGTTGTTTGTGTGTTGTTGTCTGTATGTTGTTGTTGTGTAATGTTGTTGTTTGTATGTTGTTGTTTGTATGTTGTTGTTGTCGGTATGTTGTTGTCGGTATGTTGTTGTCTGTATGTTGTTGTTGTTATTTGTATGTCATTTTCAGTATGTAGCCGTAAGTTTCACTGCAAGTTATTTTCATTTAATTTCGTACAAATTTTTATTATATAATTTTATTATATAAGTTTTTATGCCCGCTCAAAAATGTTTATGAAATATTGTGGGAAAATGATGTTCGAGAATACAACTCGTTCAATTCCTAAAGTTATCTCATGCCGGAATGTTGTTTCTTTGCGTTCTTCCATTGGACAATCATCAACACTTCATCTTTGTCTTGCATGAATAAATAAAAAATATATAAGTGGAGGGAGAGGCACAAAAAGTACCCATATTGTGGTTCTCATATATATTTACCAGCTTATATATTTATGCGTACAAACTGTTTTCATAGGCCCATAAATTATTCCGACCTATCTACCTGTACATTCTCAAACAATGAACCGCATAGACTTTCAAATATGCAGATATTAAAGATAAAAGACAAACCAAAACAACGACAAACGTTTGCATTGGAAAAAAACAAACAAACATATACACGTACAGACATACACACGTACAGACGCATGTACGAATGAACTTACGTACATATACAATTAATGAAACATAAAAACTCGTGTCAACACGTATGACCTTCAAAACATTCGTATAACTCCCACGTTAATATTTACACATCATTTTCATAGGCAGGTTGTCTGAAATATAAAGCAGCGATGTCTGAAAAACACAAACACAAACATACATACATACATATACACAAACATACCTACATACATACATTTTTAATGATGTGGTAAAATTTTTTACTTCTAAAAGCGCTGAATGCCTGATGTTAACTGCTGTCTTATATATTGCCTAGAATCCTTTCATACTACAGAGGATTGTGAAAATCTATTGCAGAAGCTATGTGATGGATTGCGAATAGCGAAGTTAGAAGCGAGGTTTGAAGCAAAGTCGTGAATGTTATTTATGTAGTTACTTGGATTAGTTTATTGTTTCTATTAGTGTTGGTATTCAAATCAACGTTTTAACGTATAACAAAAGTTGCGTTTGTAGCAGTTGTGTTCATCTATCGGAAACCTTGAACCTACGGAATAGCGAACACTTGACGATCGCTGGAAGCTACAACACTGATGTTGGAAATAAATATAGAGATCTTTGAAGTTAAAACATCGGTGTCGGTAGTTACGAACGTCAAAGTATTATTTACAACATCAGTGTCAGAAGTAAGGTTTTTGATACATTGAAATTTTCTCTAATATAGAACGCCGGCATTGGAAGAACTCGATACAAAAAATCTAAAGAAGGAACTACGAAAACGAAACCTCGACCCGAAAGAAGCCGAGTCAGTTTAGATCAGCCGCCTTAGAAACGCTCGAATAAAAGAAGGTAACGATCCGGAAAAGTCCGACTTTCCGGTTGAGTCTGATTTTCCGGATCCCGTGAAAGAACTGTTCGCCGAAATAAAAGCCGATTTGAATAAAAGATTCCATCGACAAAACGACAGAAATCCAGCAATAAAAAAATTTCAAAACGAAACAAAACGACATGTCTGACGGGTTAAACAAAAAAAGGAGCAACAAACAAGAGTCTATAAGCAGTAGTAGTTGTTGTTGTAGTTGTTGATGTTGTTGTTGCCGATGCTGATGACAGTGGTGGTGTTAATGATGATAGTTAAAAAAATTCGATGAAGAAGAAGATGATGATGATGATGATATGTTTAATCAGATGATAGTATAGTTAATGACAGTTGTGATGGTAATGACTAGAAAATGATGACAATGACAAAGATGACGATGACGATGATAATAAAGATGGTGACGTAAAAGATGATGATGAAGATGATGGTGAAAACGATGATGAGGAAGATGATGATGAAAAAGATGACGATGACGAATGTCTTCTAAAAATAGAAAGATGGCCACTTTCGTGATTTATTGTTTGGCACGTTGGGTGAGATTTTTGCTCGGTAGAAAATGTCGTAAAGTTGTTTAGTGCCTGGTTAGTAGATGCTTTTTGCGTCGTTGTTGTTGCTGTTGTTGTTGACGGTATTCTTGTTGTCGTTGATGTTGTTGTTTATGTGTTGATGTTGTTGTTTATGTTAATGTTGTTGTTGTTGGTAATGTTGTTGATGACAATGTTTATGGTGTTGTTCATTATTATTATTGTTGTTGTTGTTGTTGTTTCAATTTTGTCTGTAATTTTGTCGCAAATATTGACCTGTATGTTTATGTTTAAGTTAATTTTTTTCATTTTGCTTAAACATTTCCAGTGCAGAAATAGTGAAGGAGAAGAAAAGTAGGATGGAAAGCATTAAAAGAAAGAAGTTGCAGCCGGCACTCCAGCTTCAACTTACTGTTGTTTATGAGGGTTCGTTTGTGGCTTGCTCATCTGCTTCTTTGTGTGGTGGTTTGTTTGGCGGTGGTTTGTTTGACGGTGGTTTGTTGGGTGGTGGTTTGTTTGGTGGTAGTTTTTTGGGTGGTGGTTTGCTGAATTGTGATTTGTGGCTTTTAACATGTTGTTGTTGTTGTTGTTGAGGTTTTTGTATTTTTGTTTCGTTGATGAACCTCACTTTTTTTTTAAATCCTTGCTTCATGGAATGATTTGATGATGGATGCATAGTGTATTTTTTTCTTTTGAAATACGTTGTTTGTTTTTTTTATCAGG